GTTTCATTCATAAAATGTTCACATTCAAACAAGAGAATGGAAACGAAATTGAAAACAAGATTGTGTAATCCTTCAGTATTCAGGAGGTTTTGTTCATATCTGAAGGTGCTTTGGGTATTTTATCTGCAAAAGTAGAAGTACGGTAGGGGCCTACATGTACTTGTATCTCAGAAGGTTTTTAGCTTTACCGGTACTTGCAAACATCAAAAACAAAACTATCAAGTTATTATGAATTAATAAATACCTTGGAGAGTTGATGGTTTCTGATTGGTCGAGACTCGATCACGTGGCCGGGCATTAACGGTGATAATGGACCGGCTTCAAAGATCAAGCGAATAAATGGCCCCTGAACCAGCATTGATCCAGCCCCGTTCAGCCCCATGCAAGCCAATGATTGGTCAAAATATAGTAACAGTCCTGCGGTAGCTTGTAACAATAGAGCACTGCACATGCGCTCAACCCCCATCGCGTGAGACTGACGCGTGCATACGCAACACAGTTGCTAGGGATGCGTGCGTGCATGCGCGCGCGTAAGGAAGTTTTGAAACGACATCGTACAGCAGTGCAGTATATACTGAGGATGTTTACGGCGAAAGCGTAGATCTATGATTTATTTTCTTTGAACACTTCACCCACCGACATATTTACTAAACCAAGCATCTTTGTAATTCCGGACACAAGGAATGTGTAAACGAGATTTCAGCTTCCTCCATCAGGTAAAGATATGAAAACATTGTTGTAATTTGTTTCGCTACGGCAGCAGTTTCTGTTGAGTTTACGTTGTTATAGCTGTTAAGCTAAAATATGGCCCATGAACATGAACACAAAAAAGTCTGGAAATATCGACTTCATCTCGGTCCATTAACAGCGGTCACCCCCACACCCAGTCATTATCACGCAGTGAAGACCGGCTCCTCACACTGTTATTCCCTTAATATCTTACTTGAGTTTAAGTGAATTATAGTCTCAAGCATCCTGTGAAATCGTGGCTGCCATTTCGAAGAAAAGTGGAATTTTTGTATCAATTTCCATGGATGGTTGGCCAACCATCTACCCTACTACAGTCAGTGTTGTGGTAATAGGGAAGCAATCATATCGGGTTGCAGGCAATATGAGGATCCTGTGGCGGAACACTTTGAGTCGTGGATGGAGGTTAATGAAGAGTGAAACATATGGACGTCGGTAGATGAAAAAAGAAAAAGGCTTAGATATGAGAGATTGTAATGTACATGTACATGTAGAAAGAATCAAAATATTGTGGCTTCTAAAACATTTTAATTCTTTTTTAAAAGTTTTTAAAAGTACTATAATTCATCAAAATTGTAAAACCCCCAAAAGAATGGAATAAAAAATATAACCCAAACCAAACAAATCAAAACAAAATATCCCCCCCTCCAAAAAAGGACCCTCTCCTCCCAACATGCCCAATAAATGCTGAGGAAAAAACCTTCTGGTTCATTTTGAAAGGGCCAATAGTTATGATAATATAAACAAAAATTGCGTCAAGGGCCAGAATTGTTTGTGAAAGTTAAAATCTCAGTCCAAATTTATTTATAATTTACATGTTTTACAAATGTATGTTTAAAACAAATGTTCAATTTTAATACATAATTTTTAATATTTTTAACAATTGTTTAGATCTTGTAATGCGTATAGAACATTTTTGTGGTATTAATGCAAAATAGATAACATTTTTAATATTATGTACGGTAGGCCCCCTACATGTACATATATTCCACAAGAAAAGACATTTTAAGGCCAAAAATGTACATACATAGAATATTTGAGATCAGAGAAGTTTAGACCATCTGAACATCAATCCAGTCTGAATCTCTCCTGTCATAGCCAGCTGTAATCCCCCTCCTAGGCCCCACCTGCCCAGGTTCCCCCTCTTCTAATTAATTAATCATTAACTGCACCTGTCCTTGTGAATTATTTTTTTGACAGCCCATGTTATTAGGCCAGCCATGGCTGCACAGACAATGAAAAAAAGAAAGAGACAAAAGCACACCGTGGAAGTCATCACCTTAAAACGTTTGAAATTGGAAATATCGTTATGGGGAAGTTTTTCATTGTTGGGGTGATTAGGACCGAGTTATGGGGACTTTCTCCTGTCCCCATACATGTAACGTCTTCGGTCCCCATAGTACATGGGACAACTCATGTGTAGTCAGGTAGTCCCCACAACTGCGGTGTACAATGTATTCATACAGAGGTCTGTCTTTTATATGAAATCAGCAGAATTAGTCTGAGATATGGAAGTGAACAATTTTTTTTGGAGCTAGTTTATGCATGTACATCCCATACAGATATTACAAGTGAGTATGAATTTTGTAGAGCTGAAACAAATGGCCAAATATTACCCATTTGTTTATGTACTACATGTATGTATACATGGAATTTGCTTAATTTGAACATAAATTTGTGAATTTGAGGAATTTCTCTGTGAGACATCATAGCTTTATTACCCCATGTACATGTACATGTCCTTTTCATGGTCTACAATTTAGCAAATTACATTTCGCAGAGCAATCTCTTTTAAGTTGGGAAGTTGTTCCCTGTGAACATATTGCCGGCCAAGAAAAGTAATTTTCTCCTTCATTAGCGGACCTGATCTGCCCAGATAACCGCAAAATTATTAATTGAGTTATTTCACGGGCAAGCTCATCAGACATGATGTATGCGCAAGCACATCAGTGTCGACGTGGTCTGAATTGTGTGCTTGAGTAGCGTAGTTGCTGTGGGATGTGCATGTACTTGTACATGTACGTTCCTTCGGGTGTGTGCACTACGTGTTCTTGATCAATTTTGAGACGTCATGCGGTTTGAGGCACATGTCTGCTGGAGATGTGAAGTGTCTCTGTTTGATAATCAAGGTACTGAGGTAAGGTTTATTTCTGGTAACAATGTGCTTTCAAAATTCAAAAAAGACCTTCATATGGTAGACGTACATGTACATGACCATTGTATTTGTGTTTCAATTTCATTATATTTTATGCCCTAGTTTGAATAGCTTTGTTGTTACAATATGTGATATTAGTTTGTATGAGCTGAAGGTTTAAAATGCGAAAGTAAATTGAATTTTATGCCGCCAACATCTGTAGTTTAATTGTGACGCTCACGGATGTATTCCATAATCAGTAACGTTGCTTCACTCACAGTTTTTTTGTGAAATACGAACCAGCGTTTTTTGAACAGTGCTCTTGATATCTCATCAGACAGTGCGGTAATGGAGCGCGGAATAGAGGCTTTGCGGATGTGTAATAGATCTCATCTGAGGAAGATCTTTATCAGTATATTGCACTGGGGACATGTTGTAGTGCACTATTTGACTGGGGGCCGAAATTACTGTTGAAGAGAAATTAATTGGTTCACCGACAGGGAGTCAGGGATATGCTTAGAAAATGTAGTAATGATAACATGTGTGTTCGTTTTAGTAAAACTGGATTTTGTTTTTTTGGGATCTATAGATGTTTGACCTATTGTTTCAATTTTTTTAAATTAAAGCTTTTCAGAAATTCAGAAATTAGGTTCCCATTTGTCAGTTTTCATTTGTTGCCTTTAATTCAATAAACGTGATATTTCTACAGCCCCCCCCCCCCAAGTTGCATTGATAAGGCCTATTGTGCAATCACTTATTCTGTGGTGAGAAACAATTAGGCATTCATGATTTTGTTAAAACTAATTAAGAGCCATGAAACGGCTGTTTTCCTAAAGTTAGGGCTTCTCTAAATATACCGAATATTGCATCATGCACTGGGCATCCACAGAGCTTTTTTCCATTCAAATTTTGGAAAATGGGAGTGGTTACGATGAGATGATGAAACATTCACAGTGTTATTTTAATCTTGTAAATGCCACACCTTTTCAGAAAGCCACTTCACACACATGATATGAGAGCTCCTTTAAGGAATATAAGCTCAAAATTCTTCTTGAAAATCTAATATGTGTCATTCTGCTACCTAGAAAACATAAATGATATTCTTTAGGTTATTTTCATAAGCAGTAGGGTAATTTTCGACAAGCACAGTTTTATATGCAAATACTGAACAACAAGTTCAAGTGAGAATAATCAAAAGGCTAGCTCTAGAATAATCAAAGACTAAATTATTGAAAAATGCACGGCACTACCTAAATTATGCCAGACCAAATGGGGATTATGTGCACTCAACAATCAATCAAAATGTCAGTATAGTGTAATCTGTACAACCGTCCCAAACCTGCAAAAATAAAACACAACTCAGATTTTTGGAGCATTGAAGAGCTTTAATCAAATTTGTGTTATTGTTACAGTGCTATTAATAAAATCAAAAGTCTTTATAGAAACCTACACAGATGGCCAGGTTTTTCCTGTGTGCCATAAAGTGTGATTTCTGGGAAATTGCCGAGTTTAAAATAAATAATTCACTGGCACAAATTATACATGTATGGTCCAATTTCTGTGAACGTCTTTCATTTTGGGGCATGCACCGGTAGAACTGTTCAAGTATTTTACGTTCCGTTTCACATCTTTGCAAATACTGGCATCCTTCTAGTTGTCTGTCTCTCAAGTTTATAATAATGATGAAAATGAGTATTTGTCATTATTGCCTGATCACCGTGTCTACACATGTTATAAAGGCATTCTGATTTTAGTAGACCTTCTTCCATCTCATCGTCATAGGGAGCAGGCAGCTCGATGGCAAATGTCTACTTCAAACACAACAGACGCAACTTATGAGAAAATGCCTTGCCCAAGGACACTTGCAACACAGCCTTCTTGCCTGGACTCGAACCCATGATCTGTAAAATTACCCACTGCATTTTGTAGGTCTTTGATTTTCCACACCATGACAACTGAACATAGGTGACCATGCAGAGCACAGTAGCCAATATGATGAAAAACCTTTTTGGTTCCATGTTTCATCTCTTCTTAGGCCATGTCAGTTTGGAAAATTATACCGGTAGTCCTATAAACTGAATTATTAACAATTACAATTTTTCCCAATGCATTTTTACAGGAACTGTAAGGTCAATAAGAAGACGAACGTTCCCCTCTACCTCAGCACCTGGTCAAGGCATCGATTGGCAATGGCAGGATGACTATAACTGGTGTCCATACGATGTTGACATCTCGTGCATCATAGAGGAAGCATACCAGCATCCATTTGGCAGCATTGACTTATCCAAAACGGTGACGTGTTTGCCGTATGAGCTGGACCTGGTGGCAATGACACAACAGCGCTCAGGGTCCGGCTTTGTCCGTAATATACGAAGGGTGTGTTTACCGGCGCCGGGCTACCCGCGGATCGCGCCGGCTCAGTGTAGCCCTAGCGAAAGCATGGAGTCTATGGAGGCGGATTCGCAAGACTGTGGGTCACCGACTCTGACAAGGCCAAGCACTTTACAGACCCCATCCCAGCAGCAGTCAACGCAAGCTGCGGGGACCGCTCCTGATGATTCAAACTCTTCCCAAGGTTCGGATTGCTCCACGTCTGCTTCTTCGTCGCTGGGACGAGCCGCTAAGAAACACGCCGGGAAGCGTGCAGCTTCGCGGAAATCGGTGGCCGCAACTAGCGGGGTACGAGCCACGGTAGCATGGACCTCACCTCCGGATCCAAACGCAGGGACTAGCTCAGGCAGTGGGGGTATCGGAACCAGATCTTCATTACCGAGGTCTGTTAGCGTACCCACAACCATCGCTGGGGTGAGTGGTGGGGCTAGCGAGAGGCCGAGTTTGTCCAGTGGGGGTGTCATGAGTTCTAGCTCTACGACGTCATGTTTAGCTGCGGCTGCTGCAGCTAGCAGAATGACAAGGTGAGTGTAAACAAAAATGTACGAAGTAGCAGAACGTTCTCAATTAAGGAGTCCATGCAGATACACATAGGTGGCTGTGCATGGCCCACTCCTGAGAACTGACGAAGGACATAATACATACTGGGGTGTTTTCCAGCAAACAATGCAAACGTTGCCAATGATTTCCAATTGGCTTTGCACAAAAAGATCGCAGCAATGTTTGCTTCAGCAGACCACACACACATGGGTCTTAAATTCCGATTTTATTTTCTTATCAAAAATCATCTGGTAACTAGTCACAAGTCATAGACATTAGGTACATGACACTTGGCTGGTATCTTGTTCCTGCTAAGCTGACATTTTCTGCGCATAATAGCAAATTGGCCCTTGGTTCACACTTCTGTGTAGCATGCAGTGATTATGATCATGGGTATGAGTGGAAGTTTTGTTGATTTGTCCTTTTAATTAATAGTCCAGTAGTGATTTTACAATGTACATTGCCAATTACCAAATGATATGCATAAGTCAACAAACTGCATATTCCTTTATAATCATAATGAATACAACCTTCCTTTAAAGCACTGGAGCAGAAATAGGAGTAAATAATTATGTTCTTAGAAGATAGAAAAAACAAGACTTTGTTTTCAAAATGCGCAAACGCCATTTTGGTTCCTGTCCTGGTTGCCCGAAGTCAGTGGAGACATTACATTGCCAAATGAGACCAGTGCTTTTGGTCTCACTTGGCCAGGTGAAACGTGTGCATACTGTAGTTTCAGTCAGCTCGTTTATAATATGTACCACATTATGCTGAGTCTAGTCTCACCATGAAACCAAAACAACAGCATGTGTAAAGGAGGAACAGAAATAATTAAAAAGTAGTTTTGAGAGGAAGAGATTTTAGCATATTTTGGCAGTTTGAACATGATATCCACTTGCACAATAAATCATTCATTTCTGCACATTATGATATTTTGTCGCAGGTCTCAGTCGACGCCCAACTCCATCGTAGCCAGACCAGCTCACGCTGCTGGAGCTAAACTCAGTCCTGTAATGACAGGTAAGATAGCAACGCATACCTAACACTGCCTGTAGTTTGACCCAGATCATATACTGGATGTAGTCAGAAAAAAGAACAAAGTGTTGCTGTCTTTATAACCTGAACAGTTGGGTCAATTTCAGTAGTGTAACTCCATGGAGTTCAATTTGTAGGGGGTGGGGCACTTAAGGGGTCTCGTTTTCTATAATGGAGGCACTCAATGCATTTTTAATAATAAAACGCTCATTTTTACTTTCTCCAAATTCTGAGTGGTGTGGGGGGGTGGGGGGTGGGGACAACAGGCCTAGAGTGGGGAGGCACGTGTCGCTCTTCCCATGCCCCCACTTTCCCCTCATTTACTTCACTGATTGATTTAAATATTGGGTGTTGTCCTTCACCATAATACGTTTCACAAGCACCGTATACTCGGTGCCATCCGAGAGTTTGCACGAATATTAACTCACAAGCTTACTTGGGTAGGACTCGAACCTGTGACCTCCTGCTTACTAATGCAGACATCTTACCACGCGACCACGGGTTGGCTGGTTGGTTTGAATCTATTGCGGTACAGCAATCAAAATCTCTGATGGACTTTCAAAAACATTGATCTTGTTATTTGTTGTAATCTCCACTCCACATGCAAAAGTGCCAAAATATTGATTGTCTTTTTTTGTTTTATCTCGAAACTACTGCCAATCTGCAAAATCTCACACCTGGTTTCGTGCACCAAAATATGCAAAATTTCACACCTAGTTGTGTGCGATTAAAATGGATTAAATACTTCTTTTTTTACTTGGAGCCAACTGTCGCAGTTTTTGTACAAAGAATGTGCCACTGGATGGCATTAAATTGTTGGATTTGGGCAGACGTACATGTAAAAAGGTTTCTTCTACAAATTCCATAAAATACGTCTACTAGTACATGTAGTACATACTATAGCAGTGTATGACATTCGCGGCCCTAAATATCAAATATTTGAATTCTACAAAGTTTTTTTTTTTTTTCTAGATATGCCTTGGTTGAAAAGAAAACCTTACTCAGTCCTTTTTCTTATCTAAAAAATTGACGTCCGTAGACAGATATTTGAACAAAATATGTACTGGTACAGTTGCATTGACTCAATCCAGTCATGCCAGTTGTTTGAAAGTATTTAAAGGAGCATGCATTACAAGTTTACATACATGCCTGCTATATAATACAGATCTGCCTTGTGGGCTGTGTGGATACCCCTTTAATGTTTGATAATAAAACGCACAATTGACAGGTGTTGATTACTTCACCATGCATCACTTGCATTGAACTTTGGTTTTCTGTGTTTACATGTACAGTATACACATGTACCCGTTATGTCAATGTAGATTACATACATGTACATGTACATGTAAAGATTTATGTAGTTATTTCACTTGGATTGTCTGCTGTACAAATTTTAAAGGAAAAACGACAAAAGTGTCAAAAATTTACATATACATGTATATGTCCATTTGCAAAAAAATATGTATTTTTGCCAATTCAGTGAATAACAATGCAATAAATCTGAAGCAGGTTATTCAAAAACTAGCCTGTCAAAATTTCAGCTGAGCAGATATCGTACGTTTTGGAGAAAACTGAAAAGGCATCTTTGTTTTTCTCAACGCAAAGCATAGGTTTCTGTTGAAAGCATAATGGTTTGGTCCTAACCATTTCACAGGGTGCTTGATCCTACTACATGTATTTACTTACAATCAAGTAAGACATTTTACATTTTGGCAGTTTAAAGTTTGAATGTTTGCAAATGGTAAACACAAAAATGTATAACCTAAATTCATGATGGCGAGTTCTACATGTACAATGTAGGTAATTGTGCTTAAACTTGCCACCACATGAACTAAAATTCTGAATCTGGAAATCTCTAACTGATTCATACCAGTTGCTAAAAAGCTGGGGGTTTTATCTGCTTTTTGAGCACTTCCAGTGAATAATTTGTGCACACAAAAAGTAAAAATGTTGAAAGATGCCTGTAAAATCACCATGTTTATTACAAAAGTCGAAAGGTTCAAACCCTAGTGAATATTCAATTGATATATTCTCAAAATAGCCTCAGCGATGGGAAGAAAGGGAAAGCTACCAGTACTAGGCTGGAATATTCAAAAGGAATTGAAAATCTTTATTCATGGACTGATTAAGAACATTTCCTTAGGGAAGAATAATCAAGACTTCTCTCCTGTGTCATTTTGGCAAGACACAAGGTTTACATTGAAGTCTCTCGGAGGTTTACAGTGAAATATCTCAGAGGATTCATGTATTTCGCTGTAAACACCGCATTCATTATCATAAGTTGTTAAGTTATCCAGTGTCTCCTGGGTTTCCATGGCAATGTAACATTTGCATTCATAATGCTTGGTGTATGGAGGGTAAACAATTCCATGACTTGCTGTGACATTTACACAAGTAATGAAGGGGGCTTCATTTTCACTGCGAAAAAGGGAGTGCTGAAATGTTCACAGCCACCATGCACATTGTAAATGTGTCATATTTGTATATTGCAGTTTGCCAACTGGTGTATTTTTACCCTAAACATGCTAAATATATGTATGTATGTGCCCACTCAAAAGCAATTATGCACACACACACACCATGTATACATAACATTTATTATTATTAACATTTAATGAACAGTTCATGGTCTTGGTATGTTTTGTGTTATTTAACAATAACCAGTTTGTGTGTTGGTAAAATACTAAAATGGTGGGTATTTTGAATGGTTTTTTTTTTGCTCACTGATAATTTATTAACAATTAAAGGCCAATGCTTGAAGATTTCTCATTCAGAACATCTTAGAAACATGTTTTATTGGAGTAAAAATTGCCTTTTGGGGTTTTACCAAAAAAAATGTATACAGTTGTTTTTGTTATTGCACATATTTTTACCGGGTAATAGCAATAGGTACATGTATTTCAGTTTGAACACAGCTTTGTTTTGTTTAACTCACAAGTTTGCGTGACTGTGATCTGGTGATACTGTTGCAATTACACTAATACCGGTACCTAGACATTAGCTCTGACATTACAGATGTATCATAAGCATGATGGGATATTGTCTCTGGGGAAAAATGTGGCAAATTCAAGTGCCAAAACAAAGTACCTCAGACAATTAGAAAACCCAATATATTTGTAAACAACATGATATGAAAGAAGGAATAGACCTATAAATGTATGTTGCTCTAGTTATCAGGCAAAACCTTACCTTTCATGATATGCATTGTTCATTCAAATGAACAGACATGAACTACACGTAGCAAAATGTCAGTACCCTTCACTTTCCCTCATTGCTTGGCGCCCTCTATAGTCCACGTACATAGTCCATTAAGAAGACATGCCCATGCTTTTAAGGAATTTAAAACTCAAGTTGTGTAGTTTGATTGGCTAACCATAAGCAAACCCCTCCCTCCCCATGGTTCCTGATCATACTCACCCATGATATAACCCCATCGCACATCGCCACACCCTCACCCACCTGCATCATTCGTTTCTCTTCTCTCTTTATTTTCTTTTTCTGGCCATTGTTCTCTCGGCCGTTTCTTCTCCTTCCATTGCCTCCTTTTGACCCCGCCTGTGCCACACCCGTGCCCCACCCACCCAGCCATCACCGGCCTGTTGCTCTCCACTGCAGTGCCTGTCAAGCTCCACTCGACGCCCATTCCGATCTTCACTCCCCCGCCCATCTCAAGGGGGAGTATCCGACCCGTGGAAGGCATCAAGCCCAGCAAGAAGAAGCAGAAGACGTCGCTCATCAGAGGTACATGTGCAGTCACATTGCATGTATGGCTTTTAAAGACGTATCCGATCAATTGCTTTTATCCCAAAAGTAACATGCCAAATTATTGTCAAAAACATTTGCTGTCATTTGTAAGAAATAAAGAAATGTAGGTGATTTCCAGTGATCAGTCAATTGACTGATTTTTGGAAATGAGGAGTACTGTTCAGACATTGCAGCGACCTGTGGACATTTTTGAACAGATACGGTAAATAAAAAAAAAGCAATTTGAATCATTTTAGAGGTGTTCCTCATTGGAAATTCATGCCAAATGCATACGCTGTCTGGTACAGGCAAGGTGGGCTCAAACTCACATTCATTCACACGGTGTTTTCGTTTGCTGCTTAAAATTCAAAACCAAGGTGGTCACAGCTTGCTTTCACCCTCATTTAAAGTATGCATTGACAACATTAATGTTCTATTCATGAATTAATGTTGTATTTTGGATTTCAGTGGATTCTCCCGATGATGTGATGAAGAAATACGTCACCAAAGTCAAGAAGATTCCGGACGAGGTACCAGTGAAAGCAGCTATCAAATTTTGTCGCATTTTCCATCTCTTTTGTTCCCCTAAAAATGTTTCGAACCTGCAAATCCATTAATGTTGCCCGACACAACCTTTATGTAAAAAATAATAGGATTTTGTCGCCTCATCTATTGAACCTGACTTAAATGAATCCTTTATAGAAATAATGTAGCTGGTCTTGTAACTGTGCCATTTTCCAAATCCCGGCTTCAGCTCCATATCCGGGTCCAGACTCATTGCCAACCTGCATGAATGGAGCCAGAAACGCAGCCGAAGCCGAGGTTTGGTAAACGTCCCTGAAATCAACCAACCTACTAAAAATAATTTGGCCTCAGCTTTACCTGTGGAAGCTTTTTTTCCACTCAAAATGTGCCTGGCAATAAAGTATCTTTAATAGAAATATTATTTGCGAAACTGTTTTATTAGAAATTGTCCTGATTTGTATTTAATTGTCCTCATTTCCAGGAATGCCCAATCTGTTATGAGAAACTGGCCGATGGATCTCACTACACGGAGGACACAGATGACATCGTGTTGAAGCTGAGTAAATGTGGACATCTCTTCCATAGAGGCTGTCTGCACGCTATGTACAGCTGTGGCCCAAAAGTGAGTCAAGTTATTAAGAAAAAAAAGGAAAAGAAAAGAAAAAGAAAGAAAAACAAGAAGTGGAAAGTAGAGATTAAAGCTTAACCCATTGTGCTATATGAGACATGCAGTGCAGGCTAAAAATACTTTTGATGTGAGGAAAATTCTCTGGCAAATTTCTAGAGTTTTATTGAAGTCCACGCCAAGTCAACCACTAGCGCAGTCACAATTCATGTCATAGGTCACGGAATAAACAATGGCATAGGGAACCATTGTCAAAGGATGTCGTATACTTTGCTACCCTCTCTCTTCCACAGTTCAAAGTTTCACTTGTAAGAAGAGTTTCCTGCTTTACTTCTGGGGCCAAATTTAAAGCACCAAATGAGCATTCAAAATTATCTGGAAAAGTACCCTTTGAAATGATTACACCTGAAATGGTTTGGTTTTAATTAACATTGAAAGCAGGGTGCCCCTGTGCCTAAGCAGCATTCAGTTTCAAGACCCTAAAATTGCCCTAGCTGCAAAATGTACACATGAAAAGAAAGCGGCACACTTATATCAGCGTTTCCCGAGGTCATTGATGCCGAACTGGAGAATAGTGTGGACAAGAAAGATGCCGCCTCTGCTAAAAAAAGTTGTCCACACTATGATAGAAACTCTTAGGAGTTACTGTATTGCAAAAAAACTGAAATCTTCTGGAGTTGAGCAATATTCCTCTGGTGAGCTGGACAAGTTTCTTCGAAAATTTCAATATTACCTCCCCTCGCTATTGGAAGTTTATGAACTACAATGTAGTTCCAACACCGAGGGGAGCTAATATCGTCTATCCACCCTCATATTATGTCATATTTGTACATTATGCACCCTACTTAAGATTTTGAGCAAAATATTGCTTTAAACAAAATACAAAATTACCCCACATTACTTTAAAGAATGAATGAAATGATTTCTGTTATCCAGGATGGAAGTATACAGTGTCCAACGTGTAAGACCATCTATGGGGTCAAACATGGCAACCAACCACCAGGTCGGATGGATTATCATATCATCCCTCCATCGCTTCAAGGCTTCCCAGAATGCAGTACTATACGAATCATCTATGACATACCACCCGGAACTCAGGTACGTATGGACGGAGAGGAGGGCAGGGAGGTGGGGGAGGGGGTGGGGACAGGTGGTGGTGGGGATGGGTGATGGATTCAGGGGAGGTGGTTCTTCTATTCTCTTTAACCCAAACCGTCCAAAATTCTTCCGTGGTCATTTTAAAGGCTAGCGGTGCCAGTTTTCAGGCTATGAGCTCCGTGCGCTACCAAAAGAGGGCGCCCTTTTACCTAACAACGACGCCCCATGGGCGGGACATTTCACTGGTTGACGCACACCGTTCCTTGTGTGTGACGCACGTACACCGGGGGATTTGTTCTATTTACATGCAGTGGCCGCGTTTCGTGGCAAATGAATAGCAGTCAGGCAAAATGGCGTCAGTCGGTCACCCCCAACTGTACTTCCTTTACCGGTGAGGGGGTGCTTGTGAACGGAGCGGATACCCAGAATAACAGCTTTTTCATATTTTGGAATCAACTCTGGCATTTTGTCCCTTATCAAACTAAATCCTTGTGTCTCTTGCTGGGAAAAAAAAGAAAAATGCCACATGTCATCATTCTGCCAAAGGAAAATGCTTTGTTTGATCGTCACTCTTGAGCCAATAAGAAAATTGGTTATGCGCTACATGTTGTAAGGGTGAATTGACTCGAATAAGCCTCTGTACTGATGACGTCATGCTTTGTTTATGTGTGTACTTTTCTATAAGGCTACGAAACCGTCGTCCTCACCAGGCTCCCATAAGCAAGCACACATGTAAATAAAGTGTGACGTAATCATCATAGAGGCTTATTGAGTGAGGTTGATCAAATTTAGTTTTCCGCATGGATGCACTTCATTCACATGTGCATAGCCAATGATAGTTTAGGTATGCATGTCTATGATCATTGTGCATATGCTGCTCCATGGTGATCGTCATGCAACATGTAGCATGATACATGGATTGACAAATTTGTCCTGCCCTAAAACAAGAACCCACCGACATCCCTGGGAGATGAAGGAGTTGGGGGGGGGTGGATGTGCGTGGAAAGTTCAAAGTGCAGTCGCACAATTGTAGGCAAACACCTTTCCAAAAAGTAGTCCAGTTTTTATGCAGTGGCGTAACATCTTGGGGAGGGGGGTGGTTTTTTGTTCCACGTCCCGCAAACATCGGCAATTGTGCCACCACGAAGATGTCAACTATTGTCTGATAGTGCCCAAGATCATCTGCTTTGAACAGCGCCCCCATAGGAAGATGGTGTCTAGAACACCCCCTCCCCCTCCCCCCACCCCTCCCCCAAGGGCCCGCCCCCTTTCAGCATGGATGATCTAGCGATGCTCAGTGTGCCCTTTCTTATGCCTAATACCCCCCCCCCCCTCCCCGTTTAGGAAATGCTTTGAACATACAGCATTTTACACTGAGACAGGTCTGAAATTTATCAAACATGTCCAAAACCTTCCCTTCATTTTTTCCCCTGAAAATGCCGGAACAGCTTGTCCTCAAAACTTAGTTACTTTTCATAAACAGTCCAAGAGCTTTCTGACATTTATAGTTTGTACACAAGTGGATGCACTGCTATTGTTCACTGATTTGCTCTTTATTTCTGGGACCATAATCACACATTACATGTATATTTGTTAATGGTTACATTGATATGTTGACTTCCTTTGATTTTGTTAACAATACTTATAACAAATTTGAGACCAAACGCATGTAATTAAAAGTAGGATTCTGACAGTTTAGGTTGAGATTGGTTTAGGATTAAGGACCTTAAAGCACAAATCTTCCTGTTGTCAATAGACTCGTCCATTAAGCCCCGCCCACATTGCATGTGGGTGACACATGTGGCTCTCTAATGCTACAATGCATGTTCCAGCTGTGTGCCTCATTTCGGTTTTTGTGCATGCAATCTGTGATTGAACAAAATAACATGGGGTGGGGCTTGATCAGTCTATTGCTGCAAATAAAATATCTCCTTGATGAATAATGCAGGGTGTCCCCCCCCCAAAAAAAAACACCCGGAAGCCACAGAGCGCCCTCTTTTTCACAGCTTTTAAAAAAATACATTGCAAATATCAGTTCATCAGCTTTTTAAGAAATCTTTCCAATCAGGTAATTGTTTATTGGGTTATGGCTAATTAAAAAAAGTGCCGATTGTTCATTTTGTCCACGGTCTCAATTTTCATTTGTAAGGTACATGTACATGTACATTGTATGTACCGGTAATGGATATGGGATGGGGGTAGTTTTGCTTTCTCTAATGTTTTAAGATTTCGCTCTTTACGTGGATCTTTTTGTTGATCATTTTTTTTTCAACAATGGTCATTTCTCTTTTTTGAAGGAATGGTAGTCATGAAAAGGACTCTTTGTTAACATTTTAGATGTTTACTGCTCTGCTCTGCCCTCTACTGGGTAGCCTCTTTCACGGATGCAAGTTTCGGCCCGTGTTCTTATTGCAGCAGTCAAATATCAGTTGCTGTGGACAAAATTGAAAAGCGGTACTTGTTTTGAATTGGCCATCACTCAATAAATATTTACCTGATTGGAAGGATTTTTTCGTTGTTGAAATGCTGATGAACTATACTCTCTAAATATGTATCGATATTTGCGATGTATTTTTAAAGAGCTGTGAAAAAGAGGGCACTTCGAGGATTTTTTTTTGGGGGGGGGACCACACTGTTTATAAGTACATAGTGATTCTATGAAAATATCAGTACAATTTAAATACTTGGATCGTAAGTAAATGCTAGCCATATACAAGCACAGCAATGTCACAGACTGTTACTTAAACATTGAATTTAAAAAAAGAGTAAAACAATTGGGTAATAATTTCCTGGTACAATTTAGTCAATAGCAGGCATTAAATAAACTAAAAAAAACAATAAAATGAATGCATTAAAGAACTATGTTATTCTTTCATTCATTGTACTGTCACTATTATACAGCTTTATGACTGGAATCCGTGGAAAAGTTACAAAAAGATTTATCAACAAATACAGATCAAATTAATTCCCCTTTCATTATGATGATGCTTATTTTTCTAAGTATAGATATAAAAAAATTGAGCATTTCAAAATGTACCGGTATATGAGCAGATGTAATCATTTTAAAAATGTTACTGCAATTTTGTATTTTACGAATAAGACTAAAACTACAAGATGTAGGGGAAAAAAGCAAAAATTCAAGTAAACGTGTTACATTGTTTTTCATGAATGAGAAGTTGGTACTCAAATGGATGCCAACACAACATTTTACTAATTTGGTCTTTAAAATTGTTGGAAGCAATTAATTCTCGCTTGGTGGTTGTAAGGCCAAACAAAAAAAATTGTGTGTTTACGGTAACGGCCTGAAAAAAATCCAGGTGGGTAGGTAGGGAAATAATTTTATTTTGTAATTTTTTTTTTCATTTCAGTTCTGCATGCCCATGCGTGTTCTTTCGCAAAAAAAAATCGTAAAACCACTATTCAAGCATTGAAGATATTCAATCGATACATTTCAATCCAAATTAATTTGTATCGTCGGCCAGGGTTCTCCCCAAGATTTTTTCAAACATGTGGTGGAAGATTTGCTGTGATTCAACAACCTGAAAATGTTTGAACTTTAGAAGCTCTCTGGTGCATTTTAGAGCAAATCTGGGGGTCTTTATCTTAAGATTTGTCCTTGAAATTCAGAGGAGATCTTGTAGGTCACTAATATTTTTGTAATTAAAGAAAAAAAATCAAAATTGATAACTTATAAAAAATTAACATTTCACAACCTGTGTTTCATTGCTTCCTAACTAGAAAAGTATGAATTACATTTACATGTAAATTTCAAATTAAGAAATTAAGGTGGAGAAAAAAACAACTTTTGCTTCCGATTACATGCCTTTCAAAATAGCGTCAGTAGGTCGGAAAATTATTTCGCCAATTTTTTGGGGGCGCTGATTAATGGAGCATCATTCATACTAATCATAGAGCAAGGAATCATGTTTATTTTGTGCCTGGATTATTTTCATTTGTGCCACAAAAATTATCAAGACTGGCTATCAAAAGTGATTAAAACTTGCCTCACCTAATCAAAAATATATTTGAGGTCGGTGATTCCACTTTATGCTTAACATACATCACGGCCGCTGGCACCGCCAACATTCCGCCTGGCTGGCTGAACATCGCGCCGTGCTCACGGCCCACGTGGCCGAAAATCTTGCACTACTGCAGAAACACACTACGATGTTTCGCCACAAGTTCGAGCTTTGCAATCTCTTCATTTTAATGGAAAACACATACACAGAAAGTAAAGATCACGTTCTGTGAATTAATTCGCAGAAATTCTCTTTCTCCAGCGATGTAAAGATCACGTTCTGTGAATTAATTCGCAGAAATTCTCTTTCTCCAGCGATGTTTGTTTGGTAATATTTTTACGATCCAACTTCGGCCCACTACATCATCATGCTACGAAGTATGGACCGGTGAGAGAGGTTCCGGTCCTTCATCATAGCATTGATTCCGTTAGCTGGCGAAGGGAACCAGTGTACCATGCTGTATGTTAGCTGGGTGCTGCTGGTGGTCGACGACAGAACACATCATCGTGTGCATTTTGATCACACATGCATCGGAAAAACAGGATTTGGGTCAAGATTTTGCATGTCAAGATGAAATAATGGCGTATGTAACGATCAAATTGTGCATTTTAATGGCGTGTATGATAATTATATTGTGCGTATCAGGGGCTAAAAAATGTGATCGGCATTTTTATGTCGGCGTATTGGGCCGGCCGCAATTCCAGCCTATCGGGCCTTTATGCACGTTTGTACGTGGGGAGAACCATGCCGTCCGTCGGGCAGCCAGGCGTACCCCCGATGCGTTTGTGAAAAAATAATCGTACTTCATAGTTTGAGAATTCAAGTTTTGAGATCGTCGCGATTTTCGCACGTTTAACACAAGTATGTTTGTGTCAAATCATGGTCAGATTCAAGTGTGGAAAATGGTTTTTGTTCGTGGCAAATAATAAAAAGTACTTGAAATGTTTGAAATTTGTCAATTATCAACCTTCAAAATGGCAA